AGTGCCACCTACTGCATTATCTACTACAGCAGTGCCACCTACTGCATTATCTACTACAGCAGTGCCACCTACTGCATTATCTACTACAGCAGTGCCACCTACTGCATTATCTACTACAGCAGCGCCACCTACTGCATTATCTACTACAGCAGCGCCACCTACAATACCATCCTCGATGGCAGCGCCACCTACCGGGGATGTGTGTCTGCGGGCTGACGACGCGCTGCGGGCTCGCGGAGCCGTCCTGGCGGATGAGCACGGTCTGTAGGCCCTGCAGCTGAGCGCCGGGTTTGCTCCCCAGCTGACTGATGTAGACGGGCCGACCACCGATCTGCTGCAGACCCGTGACGATGGTGGCGCCACCGCTGTTCAACACGCCACCTGCAGGGAAGAAGAGGAGACCCGCGTTTCGATCAGTCACGAGATAAAAGAGACGCGAAGAAGAACCGAGTTATGGGGGAGTCCGGATATTACGTTCATATGTCATATATATATATATATATTCGTATATATATATAGGCTATCACGATGTAAAATGACCCTCTGCTACTGTTGCTGGATTGAGTGACGACACGGCGCAGATGGAAGAGTACTCACCGGACGAGCCGGGAGGCTGCGGATAGAGCTTGACGCGGGCGCGACCCAGTCCCGGCGCCACGACCTGCTGCACTGCCGGCGCCCTGTCCGTCGGCTTCACCTGCGACGGCCGCACCATGATCTTACCTGCAAGGTGAGATGTAAACGATCAGATATCACACACAGACACACAACTCCCCACGATGTCACTAGCTTATGATCAATGATTCTATGATTATGACATCCATTATGACTTCATGATTAAGGATGCAGGGGGCAGGTGCGACAAATAGTGTGGTGGCAGACGTGGTCAGTAAAAATAGGGCCAACATAGATGCTGTCAATGAAGATGGTTTCAATGCAGATGGGGGTCAACAGATACACCATCAATGAAGAAGGAATCAACACAGACACTGTCAATGAAGATGGAGTCAAAACCGACACTGATAATAATAAAGATAGGGTCAACACAGATACAGTCAATGAAGATGGAGTCAACACAGATACAGTCAATGAAGATGGAGTCAACACAGACACTGACAATGAACATGGAGTGAACCCAGACACTGATAATAAAGACAGGGTTAACACAGACACTGTCAATGACGACAGGCTTAACACACGAGATTAAACCATCAAAGAATTATCATCATTATCATCACCATCATCATTAAACATCCATAGGCGACATCAGTGTGAGCTCACCCCCTGAGTGTGACCCCCCACCCACCCAGCACTTACCGCCAGTGGCTAGGTTGTATGTTGTTGCCGCCGTCAGCTGTGGCATGGGGCTTGTCGCCGTGCGTGCCGGCGTCACCGCGTAGCCGCCGCCCGCCTGCATCGCCAGCGGCTTCCCTGACACCGCCTGACCGCCGCTCATCGCCACGCCGTACCCCGGCTTGTCGTGCGGAAGGTTGAGCGCGGCGGTCGGAGCACCGGCGGGGGTGGCCGGAAGCTGGATGGACGTCTGAAAGCTCATGACGGTGCCGGGTCTCGATGATGCGACCGCTGCTCCGGGCTTGCCCGCTGACATCACACGACATCAATCCAAATTTAGTTAATTTAATGAAATTTAAAATTAAATTAATTATTAATTAAGTTAAATTTAATTCCGTTTAATTTAAATTAGCCAGGTAATGACTAATTATTAATCATCAATATTAGAGAGGAACAAATTTTTTTCTTTACGTGGAAAAAATGATCAATACAATTTATGCGTGAGCACGACTAGATTCATGCGTGTCTGTGCGTGTTAGCGTGAGTGACATATGATATCTCGACTATACCTGTGGGTGTGGGAGAGAAGAGAGGTGCGCCTGCCCTGTCTGCCATCATGTAGGAGCGTGGTTTCCCAGACATCGTCAGCTGACCCAGAATCTGCACGAGAAATATCGTTGCTCACAGAACGTACATTCAGGTGCATAACAACACGAGGAAGGTTACAAACGAACCACGGGTGGTTTCTGGCTAGCATCCACACATATCCCATGAGCTTTGTTCTCAAGATAATAATGTTGAACCATAGTTATCCAGCAGTCTAACGTCCAATATCTCACGTCAGCTGAATAACTTAACACATTAGCTAACATAATTCCAGTTATAATTTCCTAAATGAGCAACCCCTCTTATCTCATCTGATCAGTCTCTGTAATGAATGTCCATCAATTAAGACGGCTGGCTGTGGGACGGCTGTATCTGTGTGGTCACCTGCTGTTGTACGGCCGGCGACAGCGTCGTCACGCTCACGGATGTCGGAGGAGGAAGCAGAGCATCTGTCGTCATCTCTCCACCAATGCCAAGTTGCTAGGAGAAATTATATATATATAATATACATACATAATATAATATATGCACACACACACGCACGCATGCACCCACGCATGCACGCATGCACGCGCACACACGTGAATATGTAATCACCCAAGTAATTTTACATGAATGATTTTGATATTTTAAGGTTGCGTCATAGTTTACGACAAAAATCTAACGAAGAATCGTTCGAGGATAGTGTCTCCAGTTTCAAGGACGACTTCACCATACGGCATAACCATTGACAACAGTACGTAATTACAAAATTAAGGACACGCTATTACTACGTTCAGTAAGTTAAGTATAAAGTTATTGTGTAGCAAAGTATACCTACATATCAAATTGTATATAAGTTAAATATATACGTACAACTATGTATTGTAATGGCTGTAACATGTTTGTAACATACATGGAAATAAAGAAATTGTAAAAAAAAGAAAAGTTCTACGTTCACATCTATTAGTAAGCAGCTCTCCGTGTGTCTCCCATTAGATATATTTCAGTATCATCCCCCCCCTTACCTGCTGAAGTACCTCCTTGATAGTTTTCGTAGCCATCTTGGGCGTTGACGAGTTTCTCGGAGACACGGGACCCTTGGGGCTGAGGCCCTGGTCGACATCGATGGCGCCACCGTCGCTACTGCCCGTGCTGAGTGCGGACGCCGGCCTGATGACCTCACGGAGGTGCTTGTGCTGCGGACGACACCGCACACGCTCGCATAAGACGCCTATACAGTTCCTTCCTACACGCAACCTCCTCCCCACGCGTGCATGAGATGCCTGCTGCCTACCAATGCTGCTGCTGCCACGTATACGACCCCATCCACCCACCGGCCTGCACACGTGCTCGCTCCAACCACCGAGAAACATGTGGTGGAAGAGCCTGTACAGCTCCTCCGTACACGCAACCCCCTGCCTAGCTTGCTGTGCGCTGACACCCACTACTGACCTGCCTGTCTGCCCTGCTGTTCGCTTGTATTTTCAGAAGGAGAGCCCCCTATCACCCTGTGCAGTGGCCACCCACTGTCCTTATTTACGTAACACTATTACGAGCCTAGTTAAACGAACGACGCTAAGTTGACAAGAATTTGACGTCGCCGTGGTACGAACACGATCACTGTCACCGTCGGTGGGCCACCTACCAAGCCTGTCTTTGCCAGCGCCTTAGGTTGTCTGGCTAGAGCCTTCTTCGCTTTCGCAGCTGCCGCCTGGGCGAGGTGCAATCGCTCTGAAACACGCAGTAAATAACATGTAGACACATGTAGTAGCTCGGGTGAGTGATAAAGTTCCGGCTTCTCAACTATCACAATCATTAATACCTCTACTAGTCACAGTAATCTTTTCGATTGAAAATGACCTAAAGACATGGGAACGTGAACTACAAAAACATTCCCTCAGGGTGAGACCAGGGGGGCGTGTGGTCAGAAACAAAATCAGTCTTAACATTAACTTCTTCTCATAGACTGTTGACGCAGACATAAAGTTACTCTGTACGCAACGAAGGGAGGTCCAGTCTACGAAAGAAAGTTTGCGTTAAAACCAACATTACAACGAATTTCATTCCTGACCAAATGCCCCTGGTCTCATCAGCCCACGGGAACACTTTCATTGCTCACGGATTGACGAGGGGGGTGCCAATGTTACCGCATTATCCCCGCCTCCATCGCCACGACGACTGTCGCCACGGCGACCGGCGACTCACCGAACTCGTCGACGGTCCTGCTGCGGTGCAGGTAGATCCACAGCTTGCGGTTGACGTCGTACTTCACACACGGATCCTTCTCATAGTGCAGCCGGTCCAGCGCCCCACTCACCACCGTGTTGATCTACAGACAGACAGACAGACAGACGTGTGGTCAGCGGGACGGCACCGGTCACTAGTGGTCACTACTGGTCACTAGTAGTGGCTGAATACTGCCAGTGGGGACTTCTGCTGACAACTGGTCTCACTAGTACTAGTGGCTGGGTTCTATCAGTAGGAGACTTCTGGTTACTACTACTCACTAGTAGTAACTGGCGGTTACTGGTGCCTACTTGTACTGACTAATGATCAATAGTAGTCACTGGGTAGGACAGAAGACCACTTGTGTTCACAATTTCACAAAATAAACACTACATACTACCTAAACTACACCACTTTCCACCGTACCAAACCCATCACACTTATAAGATCACACACTGTTCACGTCACGTCTGTCGACAGATCGACTCGCCCTCTTGTGTCCGACACTCATCCACGCTTCGCAGCGTCTGTAGGATGAGTCTGCGACCGGGGGTCATCTGACTCACCTGTGCGTCTGTACAGGTTGCGAGATACTGCGAGTCCTTTAGCAGCTCACAGATGTCAGCACGTGTTCCCTCGCCGTTGGGCAGTCTCGCCGCGGCATCTCTCACTGTGCGTAACAGAAGCGATCGATGAAACGAGATCAACGTTGGGGGAAATCCAGACTCTACTGTACTGTATACAAACATATACACATGCACACGCACGTACACACGCACACACAACCCTCTCATACACACACACACATCACACGCATGCATGCACTCATGCACAGACGTACGTAAGCACAGACGCACGTACGCACGTGCACACAGACACACGTACGCACGCACGCACAGACACACGTACGCACGCGCACACAGACACACGTACGCACGCACAGATGCACGTACACACGCACGCACAGATGCACCTACACACGCACGCACAGATGCACCTACACACGCACGCACAGATGCACCCACACACGCACGCAAGCACGCACACGTACATACATACATATACACTCTACCAAAATTAACAACTAACAAAACCTCAAAGAGAACACACAGGTGCCCACGGCTAGGCGGGTGCTGCGCACGCACACATACCGAGTGACAGGATGGTGACGAACGGCGGACGGTCGGACACCAGTAGCGAGTGTTCGCGTGCCTTGCTCGCCGCTCCCGAGTTGCTGTAGACACCCTTCACCGGCCCCACGATGCTCTCAAAGCCGTGCATCTTATAGACGAACGCCTTGTGCGGATTCGCGTATCGTTCGCGCTCCTGCCGACACACATAAAATTGCGTTAACATTGAAACAGCGTCAGTCTCAGTGCCCGATTGATCATTATAACGGGGGTAGTGCGAGCATAAAAAATTCGGAGAAGTTTATATTGAATAGTGATGATTTCTGTCGGTAGATGGCGTTGGTGCGTAATCGACTAACCTTGGCTCTGTACTCGTTCCGCTCAGACTCACTGCACGTAGATATGATGTAGTCAGTTGGGCTGAAGCAAACGAGAAAAAAAATCCGTCACGAATAACGCAGGCTTGCCGATCACATCTCACACGGTGCATGACAGAATGAATTTCCGCACATCTTTGGCCTGCGCTTAAAAGATTTCACTTGCAGGAGTAATATGCAAAGAACCTTGCGTTACGAGCCAAAATACGGGGAAGAGGCAGGATGTTCTTTGTACCAGTGAGGGGGGTTGGGGAGAGTTGGGGGCAAG